TGTGTGTAACTGTGTAACTGTGTGTGTAACTGTGTATGTAACTTTGTAACTGTGTAACTGTGTGTATCACTGTGTAACTGACTGTGTAACTGTGTAGACCCAGAGAGTGAGCCCTGCTTTGGAGACCGAGTGAGTGTGTAACTGTGTGTGTGACTGTGTATCACTGTGTAACTGACTGTGTGTAACTGTGTGTGTAACTGTGTGTATGACTGTAGACCCAGAGAGTGAGCCCTGCTTTGGAGACCGAGTGAGTGTGTGTGTGTAACTGTGTATCACTGTGTATCACTGTGTGTAACTGACTGACTGTGTGTAACTGTGTATCACTGTGTGTAACTGTGTGTGTGTAACTGTGTAACTGACTGTGTGTAACTAACTGTGTGTAACTGTGTGTGTGTGTAACTGTGTGACTGTGTAGACCCAGAGAGTGAGCCCTGCTTTGGAGACCGAGTGAGTGTGTGTGTAACTGTGTGTGTAACTGTGTGTAACTGTGTATCACTGTGTAACTGTGTGTAACTGTATAACTGTGTGTGTGTAACTGTGTATCACTGTGTGTGTATAACTGTGTGTAACTGTGTGTGTGTGTTTAACTGTGTGTGTGTAACTGTGTATCACTGTGTAACTGTGTAACTGACTGTGTAACTGTGTAACTGTGTGTAACTGTGTGTGTGTAACTGTGTAACTGTGTATCACTGTGTGTAACTGTGTATCACTGTGTAACTGTGTATCACTGTGTAACTGTGTGTGTGTAACTGTGTAACTCTGTATAACTGTGTTACTGTGTAGACCCAGAGAGTGAGCCCTGCTTTGGAGACCGAGTGAGTGTGTAACTGTGTGTATGTAACTCTGTGTAACTGTGTATGTGTGTAACTGTGTAACTGTGTGTGTAACTGTGTGTATTTAACTTTGTAACTGTGTAACTGTGTATCACTGTGTAACTGACTGTGTGACTGTGTAGACCCAGAGAGTGAGCCCTGCTTTGGAGACCGAGTGAGTGTGTATGTAACTGTGTAACTGTGTATCACTGTGTAACTGTGTGTGTGTAACTGTGTATTACTGTGTAACTGACTGTGTGTGTAACTGTGTGTGTAACTGTGTATCACTGTGTAACTGACTGTGTGTGTATCTGTGTGTTACTGTGTGTATTACTGTAGACCCAGAGAGTGAGCCCTGCTTTGGAGACCGAGTGAGTGTGTATGTAACTGTGTATCACTGTGTAACTGACTGTGTGTGTATCTGTGTGTTACTGTGTATGACTGTAGACCCTGAGAGTGAGCCCTGCTTTGGAGACCGAGTGAGTGTGTCACTGTAACTGTGTAACTGTGTATCACTGTGTAACTGTGTGACTGTGTAACTGTGTAACTGTGTGTAACTGTGTGTGTGTAACTGTGTAACTGTGTGTTACTGTGTAACTGTGTGTAACTGTGTGTGACTGTGTAACTGTGTGTGTGTGTGTGTAACTGACTGTGTGTATAACTGTGTAACTGTGTGTGTGTAACTGTGTAACTGTGTGTGTGTAACTGTGTATCACTGTGTATCACTGTGTTACTGTGTGTATGACTGTAGACCCAGAGAGTGAGCCCTGCTTTGGAGACCGAGTGAGTGAGTGTGTAACTGTGTAACTAACTGTGTAACTGTGTATCACTGTGTGTATCACTGTATAACTGTTTGACTGTAGACCCTGAGAGTGAGCCCTGCTTTGGAGACCGAGTGAGTGTGTAACTGTGTGTGTGTGTAACTGTGTGTGTAACTGACTGTGTGTGTGTAACTGTGTGTCTGTGTAGACCCTGAGAGTGAGCCCTGCTTTGGAGACCGAGTGAGTGTGTAACTGTGTAACTGTGTATCACTGTGTGTGTGTAACTGTGTGTAACTGTGTATCACTGTGTGTGTGTAACTGTGTGTAACTGTGTATCACTGTGTGTGTGTGTAACTGTGTGTAACTGTGTATCACTGTGTGTGTGTAACTGTGTGTAACTGTGTATCAATGTGTGTGTGTAACTGTGTGTTACTGTGTGTAACTGTGTGTGTGTGTAACTGTGTGTAACTGTGTAACTGTGTATCACTGTGTGTGTGTAACTGTGTAACTGTGTATCAATGTGTGTGTGTAACTGTGTGTTACTGTGTGTAACTGTGTGTGTGTATCACTGTGTGTTTGACTGTAGACCCAGAGAGTGAGCCCTGCTTTGGAGACCGAGTGAGTGAGTGTATCACTGTGTAACTGTGTATCACTGTGTAACTGACTGTGTGACTGTGTTAGTGTATGACTGTAGACCCTGAGAGTGAGCCCTGCTTTGGAGACCGAGTGAGTGTGTAACTGTGTATCACTGTGTAACTGACTGTGTGTGTAACTGTGTGTTACTGTGTAACTGTGTAGACCCAGAGAGTGAGCCCTGCTTTGGAGACCGAGTGAGTGTGTCACTGTGTAACTGTGTAACTGACTGTGTGTGTTACTGTGTGTAACTGTGTAGACCCAGAGAGTGAGCCTGCTTTGGAGACCGAGTGAGTGTGTGTGTAACTGTGTGTCTGTGTATCACTGTGTATCACTGTGTAACTGTGTGTGTGTAACTGTGTGTAACTGTGTGTCTGTGTAGACCCTGAGAGTGAGCCCTGCTTTGGAGACCGAGTGAGTGTGTATGTAACTGTGTATCACTGTGTAACTGACTGTGTGTATCACTGTGTAACTGTGTTTGACTGTAGACCCTGAGAGTGAGCCCTGCTTTGGAGACCGAGTGAGTGTGTCACTGTGTAACTGTGTATCACTGTGTAACTGTGTGTGTGTAACTGTGTGTGTTACTGTGTGTCTGTGTAGACCCAGAGAGTGAGCCCTGCTTTGGAGACCGAGTGAGTGTGTGTGTAACTGTGTGTGTGTGTGTAACTGTGTATAACTGTGTGTAACTGTGTGTATCACTGTGTAACTGTGTGTGTTACTGTGTGTGTCTGTGTAGACCCTGAGAGTGAGCCCTGCTTTGGAGACCGAGTGAGTGTGTAACTGTGTGTAACTGTGTAACTGTGTATCACTGTGTAACTGTGTATCACTGTGTAACTGTGTGTGTGTAACTGTGTAACTCTGTATAACTGTGTTACTGTGTAGACCCAGAGAGTGAGCCCTGCTTTGGAGACCGAGTGAGTGAGTGTGTAACTGTGTGTATGTAACTCTGTGTAACTGTGTGTGTGTGTAACTGTGTAACTGTGTATGTGTGTAACTGTGTAACTGTGTGTGTAACTGTGTGTATGTAACTGTGTAACTGTGTATCACTGTGTATCACTGTGTAACTGTGTATTACTGTGTAACTGACTGTGTGTGTAACTGTGTGTGTAACTGTGTATCACTGTGTAACTGACTGTGTGTGTATCTGTGTGTGTAACTGTGTATCACTGTGTAACTGACTGTGTGTGTATCTGTGTGTTACTGTGTATGACTGTAGACCCAGAGAGTGAGCCCTGCTTTGGAGACCGAGTGAGTGTGTATGTAACTGTGTAACTGTGTATCACTGTGTATCACTGTGTAACTGTGTGACTGTGTAACTGTGTAACTGTGTGTGTGTAACTGTGTAACTGTGTGTTACTGTGTAACTGTGTGTAACTGTGTGTGACTGTGTAACTGTGTGTGTGTGTGTGTAACTGACTGTGTGTATAACTGTGTGTATAACTGTGTGACTGTGTAACTGTGTAACTGTGTGTGTAACTGTGTGTGTGTAACTGTGTATCACTGTGTATCACTGTGTAACTGTGTGTTACTGTGTAACTGTGTATCACTGTGTAACTGTGTGTATGACTGTAGACCCTGAGAGTGAGCCCTGCTTTGGAGACCGAGTGAGTGTGACTGTGTATCACTGTGTGACTGTGTGTGTATCTGTGTGTAACTGTGTGTAACTGTGTAACTGACTGTGTAACTGACTGTGTGTGTAACTGTGTGACTGTGTAGACCCTGAGAGTGAGCCCTGCTTTGGAGACCGAGTGAGTGTGTGTGTAACTGTGTGTGTATCACTGTGTAACTGTGTATCACTGTGTAACTGTGTAGACCCTGAGAGTGAGCCCTGCTTTGGAGACCGAGTGAGTGTGTGTGTAACTGTGTGTGTGTGTAACTGTGTGTGTGTGTGTAACTGACTGTGTGTGTGTAACTGTGTGTGTGTAACTGTGTGTTTGACTGTAGACCCAGAGAGTGAGCCCTGCTTTTGAGACCGAGTGAGTGTGACTGTGTATCACTGTGTAACTGTGTGTATCACTGTGTAACTGTGTGTGTGTAACTGTGTGTAACTGTGTGTGTATCACTGTGTATGACTGTAGACCCAGAGAGTGAGCCCTGCTTTGGAGACCGAGTGAGTGTGTGTGTAACTGTGTAACTAACTGTGTAACTGTGTATCACTGTGTGTGTGACTGTGTATCACTGTGTAACTGACTGTGTGTGTAACTGTGTGTGTAACTGTGTGTATGACTGTAGACCCAGAGAGTGAGCCCTGCTTTGGAGACCGAGTGAGTGTGTATGTAACTGTGTGTTACTGTGTAACTGTGTGTGTGTAACTGTGTATCACTGTGTAACTGTGTGTAACTGTGTGTAACTGTGTAGACCCAGAGAGTGAGCCCTGCTTTGGAGACCGAGTGAGTGTGTGTGTAACTGTGTGTGTATCACTGTGTGACTGTGTAACTGTGTGACTGTAGACCCAGAGAGTGAGCCCTGCTTTGGAGACCGAGTGAGTGTGTAACTGTGTAACTGTGTGACTGTGTGTGTAACTGTGTATCACTGTGTGTGTATGACTGTAGACCCTGAGAGTGAGCCCTGCTTTGGAGACCGAGTGAGTGTGTGTGTAACTGTGTGTGTATCACTGTGTTACTGTGTAACTGTGTGTGTGTAACTGTGTAACTCTGTATAACTGTGTGTCTGTGTAGACCCTGAGAGTGAGCCCTGCTTTGGAGACCGAGTGAGTGTGACTGTGTATCACTGTGTAACTGTGTGTGTGTAACTGTGTAACTGACTGTGTGTGTTACTGTGTGTTTGACTGTAGACCCAGAGAGTGAGCCCTGCTTTGGAGACCGAGTGAGTCGCCTTCTGCTCGACTCTGTGCTGGGCTACGACGATTTGCTGATGGGGAGCGTCAAGACTCTGGCTGAGGCCGAGCACAACAAGGGTAGAGACACTCAGAGACACACGGAGACACTCAGAGACACACACACAGAGACACAGAGACACTCAGAGACACACAGACACAGAGACACACAGAGACACACAGAGACACACAGAGAGACATAGAGACACTCACAGAGAGACACTCACAGAGACACACAGAGACACACACACAGAGACACACAGAGACACACAGAGACACACACAGAGACACACGGAGACACACAGAGGCACACAGAGACACACAGAGACACAGAGACACGGAGACACAGAGACTCACAGAGACACACAGAGACACATAGACACGGAGACACAGAGACAGAGGAACTCAGAGACACTCGCAGAGACACATACAGAGACACACAGAGACACACAGAGACACATACAGAGACACACAGAGACACACATAGAGACACACAGAGACACACACAGAGATACACACACACATAGAGACACAGAGACACTCAGAGACACACACACAGAGACACACAGAGACACACAGAGAGACACTCAGAGACACACACACAGAGACATAGACACGGAGACACGGAGACACACAGAGACACTCAGAGACACACACACGGAGACATACACAGACACACAGAGACACACAGACACACACAGAGACACGGAGACACACAGAGACACACAGAGACACAGAGACACACAGAGACACACAGAGACACACACACACACACAGAGACGCTCGTAGAGACACAGAGACACACAGAGACACACAGAGACACTCAGAGACACACACAGAGACACACAGAGACACACAGAGACACACAGAGACACACACAGAGACACTCATAGAGACACACAGACACTCATAGAGACACACACAGAGACACACACAGAGACACACACAGAGACACACACAGAGACACACACAGAGACACACACAGAGACACAGAGACACACAGATACAGAGACACGGAGACGCAGAGAGAGACACACAGAGACACACAGAGACACACACAGAGACACACAGAGACACACAGAGAGACACACACAGAGAGACACTCAGAGACACTCACAGAGACACACAGAGAGACACTGAGACACACAGAGACACACAGAGACACACACAGAGACACACAGAGACACACAGAGAGACACACAGAGAGACACACAGAGAGACACACAGAGAGACACACAGAGACACACACAGCGACACACACAGAGATACTCACAGAGACACGCAGAGACACTCACAGAGACACAGAGACACACACAGAGACACACACACAGACACACAGAGACACACAGAGACACTCAGAGACACACATAGAGTCACTCACAGAGACACTCACAGAGACACTCACAGAGACACACAGAGACACACAGAGACACTCACAGAGACACGCAGAGACACTCACAGAGACATGCAGAGACACTCACAGAGACACACACAGAGACACACACAGAGACACACATAGAGACACACAGATACACACAGAGACACTCATAGAGACACACCGAGAGACAGAGACACACAGAGACACACACAGAGACACTCACAGAGACACACACAGAGACACTCACAGAGACACACACAGAGACACTCATAGAGACACACAGAGACACGGAGACACACGGAGACACGGAGATGCAGAGAGAGACACAGAGAGACACACACAGAGACACTCACAGAGACACTCACAGAGACACTCACAGAGACACTCACAGAGACACTCACAGAGACACGCAGAGACACTCACAGAGACACGCAGAGACACTCACAGAGACACACACAGAGACACACACAGAGACACACACAGAGACACACATAGAGACACACAGAGACACACACAGAGACACTCACAGAGACACACACAGAGACACTCACAGAGACACACACAGAGACACTCATAGAGACACACAGAGACACGGAGATGCAGAGAGAGACACAGAGAGACACACACAGAGACACTCACAGAGACACTCACAGAGACACTCACAGAGACACTCACAGAGACAGAGAGCGACACAGAGAGATGGGTGAGTGGGTGAGTGGGTGAGTGGGTGGGTGTGTGGGTGGGTGAGTGGGTGGGTGGGTGAGTGTGTGGGTGGGTGAGTGGGTGGTTGGGTGAGTGGGTGGGTGGATGAGTGGGTGGGTGGGTGAGTGTGTGGGTGGGTGGGTGGGTGAGTGGCTGGGTGGGTGAGTGGGTGGGTGGGTGGGTGAGTGGCTGGGTGGGTGGGTGAGTGGCTGGGTGGGTGAGTGGCTGGCTGGATGAGTAGGTGAGTGAGTGAGTGGGTGGGTGGGTGAGTGGGTGGGTGAGTAGGTGGGTGGGTGGGTAAGTGGGTGGGTGGTTGAGTGGGTGGGTGGGTGGGTGAGTGGGTGGGTGGGTGAGTGGGTGGGTGGGTGGGTGAGTGGGTGGGTGGGTGGGTGAGTAGGTGGGTGGGTGAGTTGGTGAGTAGGTGAGTGCCACAGGCTAGAGAAGAGGAGCGACGCTCACAACAACGAGCGGAGCGCCGGGTGGCTAAAGCACAGCAGGTTGGCACAGTAGGGGGCACAGGTGGTGCATCAGCCAGTAGTCATCTCAGTCAGTCGACCCGTGGCACCTGCTGGGTCTGCCCCGTGACCTCCTGCCAGCGGGCGTTCGACACTCCACGTGGCCTCAGGGTGCACATAGCCTGGCACAAGCGTCGTGGTGACGTCACCGCCACTTAGTGGCGAATGGCGGTTGTTGTTGTCTGTGTGTGTCTGTGTGTGTGTGTCTGTGTGTGTGACTGATTGTGACTGTGTGTGTGCCTTTGTGTGACTGTGTGTGTGACTGTGTGACTGTGTGTAGGGTTTCTACGTAACGTGATCACGGGAGAACATTATCGCTTTGTCTGTGTGTGTGTGTGTGTCTGTGTGTGACTGACTGTGTGTGTGACTGACTGTGTATCTGTGTGTGTGTGACTGTGTGTGACTGTGTGTGTGTGTGACTGTGTGTGTGTAGGGTTTCTACGTAATGTCATCACGGGAGAACATTATCACTTTGTCTCTCTGTGTGTGTGTGTGACTGTGTGTGTAACTGTGTGTGTGTGCGTGACTGTGTGTGTGTGTGACTGTGTGTGTGACTGTGTGACTGTGTGTGTAACTGACTATGTGTGTGACTGTGTGACTGTGTGTGTAACTGTGTGTGTGTCTGTGTGTGTGACTGTGTGTGACTGACTGTGTGTGTGACTGACTGTGTGTATGTGTGTCTGTGTGTGTGACTGTGTGTGTGTGACTGTGTGTGTGTGTGTGACTGTGTGTATGACTGTGTCTGTGTGTGTGACTGTGTGTGTGTGTGACTGTGTGTGTGTGTGTGAGACTGTGTGTATGACTGTGTCTGTGTGTGTGACTGTGTGTGACTGACTGTGTGTATGTGTGTCTGTGTGTGTGACTGTGTGTGTGTGACTGACTTTGTGTGTGTGTGTGACTGACTGTGTGTGTGTGTGACTGTGTGTGTGACTGTGTGTGTGTGACTGTGTATGACTGTGTGACTGTGTGTAGGGTTTCTACGTAACGTGATCACGGGAGAACATTATCGCTTTGTCTCTCTGTGTGTGTGTGACTGTGTGTGTCTGTGTGTGTGACTGTGTGTGTGTGTGACTGTAACTGTGTGTGTCTGTGTGTATGTGTGTGTAGGGTTTCTACGTAACGTGATCACCGGAGAACATTATTGCTTTGTCTCTCTGTGTGTGTGTGTATCTGTGTGTGTGTGTGTGAGTGTGTGTGTGACTGTGTGTGACTGTGTGTGTGTGTCTGTGTGTGTGTGTAGGGTTTCTACGTAACGTGATCACGGGAGAACATTATCGCTTTGTCTCTCTGTGTGTGTGTGTGACTGTGTGTGTGTGACTGTGTGTGTGTGTGTGACTGTGTGTGTGTGTGACTGTGTGTGTGTCTGTGTGTGTGACTGTGTGTGTGTCTGTGTGTGTGACTGTGTGTGTGTGACTGTGTGTGTGTCTGTGTGAGTGTCTGTGTGTGTGTGTCTGTGTGTGTGTGTGACTGTGTGTCTGTGTGTGTGTGACTGTGTGTGTGTGTGACTGTGTGTGTGTGTGACTGTGTGTGTGTGTGTGTCTGTGTGTGTGTGACTGTGTGTGACTGACTGTGTGTGTGACTGTGTGTGTGTAGGGTTCCTACGTAACGTGATCACCGGAGAACATTATCGCTTTGTCTCTCTGTGGATGGCTCGAAGCTCCTACATCACGGCTGGGCTCATCATGGCCATATTTGTGAGTTTGCTCAGTCACTCACTCAGTCAGTCAGTCACTCAGTCAGTCACTCAGTCACTCAGTCACTCACTCAGTCAGTCACTCACTCACTCACTCAGTCAGTCACTCAGTCAGTCACTCAGTCACTCAGTCAGTCACTCAGTCACTCAGTCAGTCACTCAGTCACTCAGTCAGTCACTCAGTCACTCACTCAGTCAGTCACTCACTCGCTCAGTCACTCAGTCACACAGTCAGTCACTCAGTAACTCAGTCAGTCACTCAGTCACTCAGTCACTCAGTCAGTCAGTCACTCACTCAGTCACTCAGTCAGTCACTCAGTCACTCACTCAGTCAGTCACTCACTCAGTCACTCAGTCAGTCACTCAGTCACTCACTCAGTCAGTCACTCACTCGCTCAGTCACTCAGTCACACAGTCAGTCACTCCGTCAGTCAGTCACTCAGTCACTCAGTCACTCACTCAGTCAGTCACTCAGTCACTCAGTCACTCAGTCAGTCACTCAGTCAGTCGCTCAGTCACTCAGTCAGTCACTCAGTCACTCAGTCAGTCACTCACTCAGTCAGTCACTCACTCAGTCAGTCACTCACTCAGTCACTCAGTCACTCAGTCAGTCACTCAGTCAGTCGCTCAGTCACTCAGTCAGTCACTCAGTCACTCAGTCAGTCACTCAGTCAGTCACTCAGTCACTCACTCAGTCACTCACTCAGTCAGTCACTCAGTCAGTCAGTCACTCACTCAGTCACTCCGTCAGTCAGTCACTCACTCAGTCACTCACTCAGTCAGTCACTCAGTCAGTCAGTCAGTCACTCACTCAGTCACTCCGTCAGTCAGTCACTCAGTCAGTCAGTCAGTCACTCACTCAGTCACTCAGTCACACAGTCAGTCACTCAGTCAGTCACTCAGTCAGTCACTCTGTCAGTCACTCAGTCAGTCACTCAGTCAGTCACTCTGTCAGTCACTCAGTCAGTCACTCTGTCAGTCACTCACTCAGTCAGTCACTCAGTCAGTCACTCACTCAGTCACTCAGTCACTCAGTCAGTCACACACTCACACACTCACTCAGTCAGTCAGTCACTCACTCAGTCACTCAGTCACTCACTCAGTCAGTCACTCACTCAGTCACTCAGTCAGTCACTCAGTCACTCAGTCAGTCACTCACTCACAAACTCAGTCACTCAGTCACTCACTCAGTCAGTCGCTCAGTCACTCACTCAGTCACTCAGTCACACAATCAGTTACTCACTCAGTCACTCACTCAGCCACTCAGTCACTCACTCAGTCACACAATCAGTCAAACAGTTACTCACTCAGTCACTCACTCAGTCACTCAGTCACTCACTCAGTCACTCACTCAGTCACTCACTCAGTCACTCACTCAGTCAATCAGTCACTCACTCAGTCACTCACTCAGTCACTCACTCAGTCACTCAGTCACACACTCAGTCACTCACTCACTCACTCATTCACTCACTCAGTCACTCAATCAGTCAGTCACTCACTCAGTCACTCAGTCACACACTCAGTCACTCACTCAGTCACTTGCTCAGTCACTCACTCACTCAGTCACTCAGTCACTCAGTCACTCAGTCACACAGTCACTCACTCACTCAGTCACTCAGTCACTCAGTCACACAGTCAGTCACACACTCAGTCACTCAGTCACACACTCAGTCACTCAGTCACTCACACACTCAGTCACTTAGTCACTCACTCAGTCACTCACTCACTGTGTCTGTGTATGTGTAGACTGTGTGTGTGGCTGTTTGTGTCTGTGTTTGGTTGTGTATATGTGTGTCTGTGTGTATGTATGTCTGTGTGTGTCTGTGTGTCTGTGTGTGTCTATGTGTATGTATGTGTGTGTCTGTGTGTCTGTGTGTGTCTATGTGTATGTATGTGTGTGTCTGTGTGTCTATGTGTATGGCTGTGTGTCTGTGTGTGTGTCTATGTATGTGTGTCTGTGTGTGTGTATATATGTGACTGTGTGTGACTGTGTGTGTCTGTGTGTGTGTATATACGTGACTGTGTGTCTGTGTGTGTGTATATATGTGACTGTGTGTGTGTCTGTGTGTGTGTGTGTATATACGTGACTGTGTGTGTCTGTGTGTGTGTATATATGTGACTGTGTGTGTGTCTATGTGTGTGTATATATGTGACTGTGTGTGTGTCTGTGTGTGTGTATATATGTGACTGTGTGTGACTGTGTGTGTGTCTGTGTGTGTGTATATACGTGACTGTGTGTGTCTGTGTCTGTGTATATATGTGACTGTGTGTGACTGTGTGTGTGTCTGTGTGTGTCTGTGTGTGTGTATATATGTGACTGTGTGTGTGACTGTGTGTGTGTCTGTGTGTGTATATACTTGACTGTGTGTGTGTGTCTGTGTGTGTGTATATACGTGACTGTGTGTGTCTGTGTGTGTGTATATATGTGACTGTGTGTGTGTCTGTGTGTGTGTATATATGTGACTGTGTGTGACTGTGTGTGTGTCTGTGTGTGTGTATATACGTGACTGTGTGTGTCTGTGTCTGTGTATATATGTGACTGTGTGTGACTGTGTGTGTGTCTGTGTGTGTCTGTGTGTGTGTATATATGTGACTGTGTGTGTGACTGTGTGTGTCTGTGTGTGTGTGTATATACGTGACTGTGTGTGTCTGTGTGTGTGTATATATGTGACTGTGTGTGTGTCTGTGTGTGTGTATATATGTGACTGTGTGTGACTGTGTGTGTGTCTGTGTGTGTGTATATACGTGACTGTGTGTGTCTGTGTCTGTGTATATATGTGACTGTGTGTGACTGTGTGTGTGTCTGTGTGTGTCTGTGTGTGTGTATATATGTGACTGTGTGTGTGACTGTGTGTGTGTCTGTGTGTGTGTGTATATACGTGACTGTGTGTGTCTGTGTGTGTGTATATATGTGACTGTGTGTGTGTCTGTGTGTGTGTATATATGTGACTGTGTGTGACTGTGTGTGTGTCTGTGTGTGTGTATATACGTGACTGTGTGTGTCTGTGTCTGTGTATATATGTGACTGTGTGTGACTGTGTGTGTGTCTGTGTGTGTCTGTGTGTGTGTATATATGTGACTGTGTGTGTGACTGTGTGTGTCTGTGTGTGTGTGTATATACGTGACTGTGTGTGTCTGTGTGTGTGTGTATATACGTGACTGTGTGTGTCTGTGTGTGTGTATATATGTGACTGTGTGTGTGTCTGTGTGTGTGTATATATGTGACTGTGTGTGACTGTGTGTGTGTCTGTGTGTGTGTATATACGTGACTGTGTGTGTCTGTGTGTGTGTATATATGTGACTGTGTGTGTGTCTGTGTGTGTCTGTGTGTGACTGTGTGTGTGTCTGTGTGTGTGTATATACATGACTGTGTGTGACTGTGTGTGTGTGTATATATGTGACTGTGTCTGTGTGTGTGTCTGTGTGTGTGTAGACTCTGTCTGTGTGTGTGTATATACGTGACTGTGTGTGTCTGTGTGTGTGTAGACTCTGTCTGTGTGTGTGTGTATATACGTGACTGTGTGTGTCTGTGTGTGTGTAGACTCTGTCTGTGTGTGTGTATATACGTGACTGTGTGTGTCTGTGTGTGTAGACTCTGTCTGTGTGTGTGTGTATATACGTGACTGTGTGTGTCTGTGTGTGTAGACTCTGTCTGTGTGTGTGTGTATATACGTGACTGTGTGTGTCTGTGTGTGTGTAGACTCTGTCTGTGTGTGTGTGTATATACGTGACTGTGTGTGTCTGTGTGTAGACTCTGTCTGTGTGTGTGTGTATATACGTGACTGTGTGTGTCTGTGTGTGTGTAGACTCTGTCTGTGTGTGTGTGTATATACGTGACTGTGTGTGTCTGTGTGTGTAGACTCTGTCTGTGTGTGTGTGTGTATATACGTGACTGTGTGTGTCTGTGTGTGTAGACTCTGTCTGTGTGTGTGTGTATATACGTGACTGTGTGTGTCTGTGTGTGTGTAGACTCTGTCTGTGTGTGTGTGTATATACGTGACTGTGTGTGTCTGTGTGTGTGTAGACTCTGTCTGTGTGTGTGTGTATATACGTGACTGTGTGTGTCTGTGTGTGTGTAGACTCTGTCTGTGTGTGTGTGTATATACGTGACTGTGTGTGTCTGTGTGTGTGTAGACTCTGTGTGTGTGTATATACGTGACTGTGTGTGTGTCTGTGTGTGACTGTGTGTGTGACTGTGTGTCTGTGTGTTTGTGTAGACTCTGTCTGTGTCGATGCTTCTGCGCTACTCCCACCACCAGATCTTCGTCTTCATCGGTAAGAGAACCACACAGACACACACACACAGACACACTCACTCACACACACAGACACACACACAGACACTCACACACACACACTCACACACACACACAGACACACACAGACACACACACAGACACTCACACACACACACTCACACACACACACAGACACACACAGACACACACACAGACACTCACACACAGACACACACACACACACAGACACTCACACACAGACACAGACACACTCACTCACACACAGACACACACACACAGACACTCACACAGACACACACACAGACACTCACACAAACACTCACACAGACACTGACACACAGACACACACACACACAGACACACACACAGACACTCACACACAGACACACACACACACACAGACACTCACACACAGACACACACACAGACACACAGACACACACACACACACAGACACACACACACACACACAGACACACACACACAGACACACGCAGACACACACGCACAGACACACACACACAGACACACTCACAGACACACACACACACAGACACACTCACACAGACACACACACAGACACACTCACACAGACACACACACAGACACACACACGCAGACACACAAGCAGACACACACACAGACACACACACAGACACACACAGACACACAGACACACACACAGACACACAGACACACACACAGACACACACAGACACACACACACAGACACACACAGACACACACACACAGACACACACAGACACACACAGACACACACACAGACACACTCACACAGACACACACACACAGACACAGACACACACACAGACACACACACGCAGACACACACGCAGACACACACACAGACACACTCACACAGACACACACACAGACACACACAGACACTCACACAGACACACAGACACACACACAGACACACACACGCAGACACACAGACACACACAGACACACACAGACACACACAGACACACTGTGTGTGTGAGGTGCTCGCTAACAGCACTTGCCCCTACAGTCTGTTAAGGCTATACGGGGGATGGTATTTGTTGTGTGTGGTAGTGATGGTACTTGTGCTGTGTGGTAGTGATGGTACTTGTACTGTGGTAGTGATGGTACTTGTTGTGTGTGGTAGTGATGGTACTTGTACTGTGTGTGTGGTAGTGATGGTACTTGTACTGTGTGTGGTAGTGATGGTACTTGTACTGTGTGGTAGTGATGGTACTTGTACTGTGTGGTAGTGATGGTACTTGTACTGTGGTAGTGATGGTACTTGTACTGTGTGTGTGGTAGTGATGGTACTTGTACTGTGTGTGGTAGTGATGGTACTTGTACTGTGTGGTAGTGATGGTACTTGTACTGTGTGGTAGTGATGGTACTTGTACTGTGGTAGTGATGGTACTTGTACTGTGTGGTAGTGATGGTACTTGTACTGTGTGTGAGGTAGTGATGGTACTTGTGCTGTGTGGTAGTGATGGTACTTGTACTGTGGTAGTGATGGTACTTGTACTGTGGTAGTGATGGTACTTGTACTGTGTGGTAGTGATGGTACTTGTACTGTGTGGTAGTGATGGTACTTGTACTGTGGTAGTGATGGTACTTGTACTGTGGTAGTGATGGTACTTGTACTGTGTGGTAGTGATGGTACTTGTACTGTGTGTGTGGTAGTGATGGTACCTGTACTGTGGTAGTGATGGTACTTGTACTGTGTGTGGTAGTGATGGTACTTGTACTGTGTGGTAGTGATGGTACTTGTACTGTGGTGGTGATGGTACTTGTACTGTGGTAGTGATGGTACTTGTACTGTGTGGTAGTGATGGTACTTGTACTGTGTGTGTGGTAGTGATGGTATTTGTTGTGTGTGGTAGTGATGGTACTTGTACTGTGGTAGTGATGGTACTTGTACTGTGTGGTAGTGATGGTACTTGTACTGTGTGGTAGTGATGATACTTGTACTGTGTGGTAGTGATGGTACTTGTACTGTGTGGTAGTGATGGTACTTGTACTGTGGTAGTGATGGTACTTGTGTGTGTGTGGTAGTGATGGTACTTGTACTGTGTGTGGTAGTGATGGTACTTGTACTGTGGTGGTGATGGTACTTGTACTGTGGTAGTGATGGTACTTGTACTGTGGTAGTGATGGTACTTGTACTGTGGTAGTGATGGTACTTGTACTGTGTGTGTGGTAGTGATGGTATTTGTTGTGTGTGGTAGTGATGGTACTTGTACTGTGGTAGTGATGGTACTTGTACTGTGGTAGTGATGGTATTTGTTGTGTGTGGTAGTGATGGTACTTGTACTGTGTGGTAGTGA